TGAAATAATATATCTCACATGCACAGATAGACCTACCAGCTTTTAAACAGCATTGCAGAATTTTTTAAGGCCAAAAAGTATTTTCACGTTTCTGCAAACAATTTGAAAATGGGGCCTACAGTATATTTTGCAAGAAAACTTCATATAGATCCTCGAATTCATAGTCTGATTTTTTTTTTATTAATTAAGAGGTCTAGATCTATCTACTAGTATATCATTATAGGTGATACTCCCAAGAAACCTCCATTAATATTTAACAAAAAAACAGAAGGCCTAACTTGAAAAAAAAAAAAAAAAAAAAAAACAGTTGCGGCATCTCTTCAAATGCGTCTCTCACTCCCCCCCCCCCCTTCTCCTACCCCAAATCATTTACTGTGAACAGCCTTCTAAAAGATAACAGATGATGTGATGTTTTGATACCCATATTCGAACGTTATTATTTCATCATTTACCCCAATAACTATGCAACTACATGTTACATTTAGCACTCCATAGGAGACGAAATCGTATTCAAGTTAAAAAAAAATCACCGGAATCATTGCGCAATACAGTTTGTTGATACCGCTGATTTTTTTAGCAAGTGTATGAAAACCAAGTGTACAAAAGCTGTGAAATAATAATGCTTTTTAAATTGTCTAGTGTTGTGATCAAGAGAACCTGAGCTTGTTGTAGTGGCCTGCAGCCAGACAAACAGTAAGTTTTTCTTCGAGCTTATACACACCGCTTAGGCTTAGCTAAACTTTACAGTAGTCAGTACTCTGGTCTCGATTTGAAGTTTTGCAATGCTCCACACATATTTGTACGTGTGGGACTGGGCTTTACATTAAGTGATAATTAAACATGCGCAGAATATTTTCGATTATACGAACTTGAAAGTAATTTCTTCATCTTAATCTGTTGAGCAACATTTACAGCGACAAATTTTTTTTTAGGGGGTGTATGAGGATATCAATCATTAAGCGTCTTTCTACACAGAAATGGATTTTTATTTTCATTTTTCAATGCAGTCGCGCTAGCTGCCGTGTGATTATAATTGATTGGCTCTCGGCAGACGTACCGTACGATACGGCTAGCTAGATTCTTTTCAAAGTTGCAACAAGTGAACTGATCAATTTATTATGCCTAGATCTATATATGATTTTGAAAATTCAGTTAAATTCACCAAGAAATTACTGAGAAACTAAATAAATCAAGAAATAATCTTAATTCAAGTTAACTCGAGAGTCGAGATTAAACACCGAGACATTGCCAGTTTCGAGGTCTAACTTTAGTTTAGATCTACAAACTTTTTGTTTATTAAGACCAAGCAAGGGCAAGGCAATCAAATGCAGATTCATAGATTAGAATTTGTAGTAAAATTAATAATTACCTCGTCCTTTAGCTCGCAAAGAGCTTGGGTCACTCTTCGTATTGTCCTGGACGCTGTAGAAAGATGTATCCCATGGATACACCTCGTGTCGTCCATGACACTGCCTGTAGCGTAATACCTCAGCGCAACAAAAACTTGCAGGCTGGGGGGTAATGCATGATTACGTGCCGTTTGATGGGCTAATCTGTCCTCTAGTCGATCGATAATATGGAGACACCCTTGTCTCGTAAATCTATATAACTTGAACATTTGCTGGTCGTCGTATAGATCTAGGGGATGAAGCCTGTCCCTAAAGACTCTCTCGCGTCTGATCGCAGCATGTTGTATTGCAAAAAGTATTGCAGCCATATTGAGTGTTGTGGACAGGAATAAAAATTGGGTTAACCCAACACCTACTTAAAAGCTAGGGTTAAATTTACCGGAGTTTCCATGGGAATTAACCGGAAATAACCGGAAAAAAATCCGGTTACTTTTTATGCAATGGGGAAACTCCGGTAAATTTCTCTTTACCGGAGTTTTCTGATTTTAACCGGAGTTTTTTCGATTTTAACCGGAAAAAACTCCGGTAAAAAGTTTTATGCAACGGGGCCCTGGAGTCGGCAGATGGGTGAGTTTTCTTAGTGAAAGTAAATGCTTTCTTTTAATCTTAGTTTTATTATAAACAAATTAGTAATTAAAAAGTTAGATTTGGGCATTGGCCTCCCTACTGTTACAAATAATTGTATTTCAATACACTAGATCTAGACTATGCATGGCGGACAAAGAAAGCGGACAAAATATACAGTTCCTCATTCTACTTTCTAGTCTAGACACAAAATAAATAAAGGAACATCCCTTCACTGCTATTATGTAAAATGTGTAGAACAGGTGTCACATGTATATTCACCTGTGCTACCCTTTTTTACATAATAATTAATAGTAGGGAGGCCAATGCCCAAATCTAACTTTTTAATTACTAATTTGTTTATAATAAAACAAACATTAAAAGAAAGCATTTTCTTTCACTAAGAAAACTCACCCATCTGCCGACTCCAGAAGTTCCATAAAATAGGAGATATCCAGCTAGTTCCTATGAGCTTCCTTCTACGCCTGGCCGTACGTAAGAGCCTTGAAACAATCAATTTCATGGTCCCAAAAATTACGTCGAGAATTAGACAGGCCCGAGGGAATGGGCGTGTCATCATGGTCATTGCCCGGACAACAAGTTCAAAACTTCGCGCAAAAGTACATTCATCATCACCGGCTAGCCTTGAATTAGTCGCACACACCGACACAGTACTACAGGCCGTCCAGGTACGGTAATTGCATGCAAGCTGCAATCGAGCCATGCTAGCCATGCCATGGCATGGAGGGTCAAAACATAATGAGAGAAAGCTCGAAAGCCACTCATTGTAAATTAAGAAAATCATTGAAATAAATAAATAGGCCTACCTTAGTTTTGATATGTATTCCAATTATTTCCTCATGAGTAAATATCAATCTGACACTGCATTATCAACGATCGATAAATCCAACTTGCACAGTTGTAGCGAACACAATACGGAATCAAACATAGTCAATAGGACTGCACGCAAGCATTGATAGACGTGTACTGACGGAGATATTTCTCTCCCTCTCTCTCTCTCTCTCTCTCACTAACCATATGATGATATCATACACTAAAACACACACGTTCAAATCATGGCATTCATTACACTTCTCAATTGGAGTATAGACTGCTCACGTAGACTTTTTTGTTTTTACTGAAATGTCTTTTTTGTACACTTCTCATACATTACTGCACGACACTGGTGTCTAGTGCTGAGAAAAAGGTACTATGTGTGAGACTACGTCAAATTTGTTTTGCGCGCGATGAGACCGGAGCTCATACATATTCATATTATGATGTCGCAAGACTTCTATTTGGGGCTCGAACAATCATGTCTCTGTTCACAGTTTTCCTCCCCAATTTGAGATGGCTCTAGCTATGGGGCTCAAACCAACGCAAGATTGACAAAAACATCGTACTCTATCTACCTTCGTATGTGCAGTTTGTAAAAATCTGCAATTAAAAAGATATAATCCTTTTTCGTTATATTTTCTAGTTGTTAAAAGTGACATTTGTGCACATCTGATATGTTAATCTCTATCAAAAGTTCTTTGATATTAAATTGATTCCATATTTTTAGGCTCTACCTTCAGTCATTGAGAAGGATTTTAGTGAGCTAACCTCATCGCCCTCTAGGACCCGTCTAGTTTCTCTTGTGCGTTCGTTATTTTTGTCTGCTAGCCCAATTATTGGATCAAAATACGTCAAAATCTGCAAGATCGTCAATAAATGGTGAAAGACCGTTACAGATCCGTGATTATAGGTATGTTGTGGAGTGTGTAATTGTGTATTTGTTATACATTTTATTCCATAGATATTTGTTTTCTTTTTTTCCCCCTTTTTTTTTCTTCTGGTAATTTTCTGACTTGGACGACGAGGGCACAAATCGTAGGCGTAGAAGCCTTACGCCCGGGCATTGGCCTCCCTATAATAGCAGTGAAGGGATGTTCCTTTGTCTACCACAGCAATTGTTGAGGGTAGAATGAGGAACTGTAAATTTTGTCCGCTTTCTTTGTCCGTCATGTTCATAGTGATAGTCGGAATGCAAATTGCATGAATTATATTCCATGTTGTTAGTTAGGACAAAAAATAATATTTGTCCTACCTACAATGTAGCAACAACTAATGTTTGCAATTCACATTCTGACTATTGAAATAAAATTATTTGTAACGGGTGAATGAAATAATTTGTAACGAGGCGCTTAACAAAGATTTATGCATTAATTTGATTCCATTCCTGTGCCTCTTCTTGCAGCTGCTGGGCCGAGGGGCCTTGAATGCACTCCTGGGATCTCTATAAATATGGTGCAATACATGATGATGCTCATTGCATGCTGTGAAAGAAACCTGTGTGCCCTGATTGTCTACTAAAAACAAAATCACAACATCATTGTGTTCTGCCCAAATATAGCATTTCGTGAATATTAACCCTGCGAGGCACAGCTTCTTGGCTGGTCCCAGCCATTCTCTCCAAAGGAGGCGAGTTGGCTCAGTCGGTAAAGCGTCCGCCTGTCGAACCACAGATCCCGGGTTCGACTCCCACCAAGGCGGATGACTGAAGCCTGCGTTGTGTGTTAACGTGCCCCTTCCCTTGTTCATAGACGCAGGTTATGTTAAGTGGAAAACACTTCGTCCCTCGGATAGGACGTTAAATGGAGGCCCCGTGTAGAGAAGAGTCACTACCTTTGCACGTTAAGAACCCACTGCACTATTCGTATTAGAGCAGGGGGAAACCCCGGTGTAGTGGTCCACCTGCACACACCCCCAGCATAGTACGATTATACTCTGTAAAGAGGTCTGTACTCAACAAGGAAGAAGAAGAAGGCGGGTTTCAGGAGGCAGGGGCGAAAAGTTTATGGCGTCAAAAGCCCCCAAAACCTTAAGCTATTATTAAATAGATGTAGTGAATTGAAACTCTGAAGGATAGTTATTCCATCTGTTTTATGTATGTAATATTTATATTTTTGAATGTTGTTTTCAGATATTGTTGCCCGTGTCATATCACCTTTTTCCAGAGGACTACATTTCTGTCGAGTGATGAGAAGGACATCTTACACCATGGATGGATTCTGCCTTCTCTATCTGCTCCTGATCCTCTTGATGAGATCTGGTGACGTTGAAACCAATCCAGGTCCTAACACTGCAGTAAGGTATGCATATAATATACATACTAGAAGCGCCTTCTGGTTTAACAATGACGTTGAGTTCTGGACCCTGTTTCATGAATCTTGTTATCAATAACAAGTTACAATAACTGTTATAAGCTACTAGAATAAGCCAGTTCACGGTTGCAGTCTGAGCATGAGCAGATAAAGGTTATTGCAGAACAAATTGTGAAAAATATGGAGACAAAATACCGGATATGTGCTCATGAAGTTATGTAATCATTATTCATTCATGCATAAGCAGTGCACTCCATGATACACCATCGATGTAGGAGTGATTATTTCAAAATTTACAAAGTGGGACCTCTTCATGTTTTGAAGATCTGTGGATATTCGGGGTCATTGCAGAGATGTGCTAACCGTGAACTGGTCTATTGTGGCATTTGTTCTGCTGAGAGCCTGAGATCAGAAATGTCATAGAAGTTAGGCATTTTTGATTGATAACAAGTTTTATGAAACCGGGACCTACAGTTACATGATTGTATTGCGAAAGAAACGGTGTGGAAGCGATTTGAAAGGTTGATCATGTAGCACATACATGTAAGTATTGGTGTATACTGTGAGGTGTTTGGATTTGTCAAAATAATAATTTTGCCCAGTCTTGCTAAAAGTCACATGTACATGTACTAGCTGGACACAGTAATGTGTATATATGGAACTCCACAAGCATATGTAGGGAAAGTGCATGTGGTCAAAAACAAAATTTTTAAAAAATGAGGGCATTTGAAGAGCTGTCTTTTTCAGTCAGGGAAGTTTTTGTTCTATGATACTCTTCCACACTAACATAAAAAGTGTGAAAAAGCTCACAATTTTTTGTCACCTTTCCCAAAACTCAACCTCCTTAAACAAGGCAAACCACTCAATGTGGTCAGTCATGAATGAGATCAATGTGACACTTGAAATCATCATGTTATCGAACAAACATAGTGATTACATATATATTATGCATGATACAGATTATCATTATGATGATGATGAAGGTAATAGTAATGAGAATTATGACAATAATGATGATGATGATGATGATGATGATAGTTGTAAAAATAAAAATAATAATAATGATAATAATCATCATCATCATCTATTGTAGTAATGATAATACATGTAAAAATTTGTAAACATTATTATTATTTTGACAAGTGGTATAGTAATCCTTTTCTTATTATTATTTTATCATCATCATCATTATTGTATTTACTGCCTAACTCTGCTTTTTTGGCATAATTACCCTTGACAGAACAATACTGCCCTGACCTGCAACTTGGGCCAATATCTTTCAATTGTTAATATCACAGGCATTATATTCTGATATTCCTAGGCTGTTATATATTGCATGCTCAAGCACGCATGTAATACAAATTGTTGAGTATCACATGATAACTTCTCAGGCAATAGGATGTTCTCTATATTATTATACCCAATTGATATATTATTCATTTTACAGTAATGTCAGTGACATGGAGTTCCTGCAGCTGGCCCATGATATCCAACCATCTTACTATGAGGCTGTAGGGATATCCCTAGGGTTCTCTTATGCTCAGCTAGAGAATATCCTGATTCAGAAGTGGAATAACTATACCAATGCATTTTTGCGGGTATTCATGGAATGGAATGTCATGCAGCAACCTCCACACTCAAACAAACGGCAGCTTTTGGCAGACAAACTACGAGAGATTGACTTGGGTGGCTTATCAGACAGATTACTCAATGAACCAAACAGCACAGGTAAACAGATATTAATTATTGCAGTCTTGCTATGTGAACAGAAGATATAGAAAACCATGCATGAAAGTAAAGTAAGTTTTTACCATCTAGATAAAGTGAATGATGCTCTGTGTTCTATACATGTACATTGACCACAATTTACAGAAGTGTCAAATATTTCAGGCCCCATGTATGTTTTTGTAATTTACTAATTTAACTTTGTTAATCTTAAATATTTTCTGTACACCAGTATAGTACAAGTTCTTTGAGTGACAGCAGAATTTAATGTTTGTCAGCTTTCTTTATGTGTACATGTTCTTCAAACAAATTATATTCTTTTGCGTCATTTAATTATGATAACTATAATTATGCATCTGCCCATGCACGGATGCATAATTGACTTCATGACTTCATACAAATTCAGACAAACATGTAGGACTTTGTGTCTTTACTTGAGTGCATGCACCTATTTGTAGGTCACACTATTAGCCTCATGCCTTTAAAATCTTTTCAGATGTATCAAAATACATGTTTATGTGTAATCATGTGAATATGGATTATCTATGTATTTTTAGGAGGGCCATCAAGACTGCTCGAATCACAGACCAAACCTCCTTCTGCTGGATCTCGGACCAAACCACTTTCTCCTGAACTGGTTGAGCGGTGTGCAAATGATTTCAAGTTCAAGTACAGGTCAACTGTCTGTAAGATCAGAGCTGATCCTCTCAATCCTGCTTCCACTGTGCAGTTTCAAGACATGTATACTAATCTCATCTTACTAGAAGAACATAGGACAGAGAAACGAATACTAGATTACAATGATATCCTTGATCTCAAAGTCAATGGAGAGTTCCCCAAGCGGATCATGGTTCAGGGAGAGGCAGGGGCTGGAAAAACTACATTTTGTGCTAAGATTGCCTGGGACTGGATTGAAGGGAGGCATTTTAGTCACTTTGTGTGGGTCTTGATTGTTCCTCTACGTGAATTTAAGCAACATACTATTGGCAAGATTGTGAAGTCTTATCTGGCCAAAAACAATCCAGCAACGGTTTCTCAGATTAGTGACTATATTCAGTCAAATCCTGATAAGGTATTCATTGCATTTGATGGGCTAGACGAAGTCAGTGGCGAAATCATGAAGCCAAAATCCTGCAAATCACAGTCTACTGATCAAATACAACTTAGGCCATCACAGCCAAGTGTCGACTCTTCAGAGGCATGTGAAAGCTCATCTGAGACTGGTGATATTAGACTTGTAGATATTCTTTGTTCAGATCAACTTGCCTCTTGCCCAGTCTTGGTTACCACTCGCCCTTGGAGGGCAGTAGAGATTAGATCAGATGGTGATCTGATGAAGCTCTACACATTCATTCATGTTGAGGGTTTCAACAGAGAGAATTTGTCAGTTTACATTCACAAATACTTTCCAATGAATGAGGATAAAGCAAATCAGCTTATCCAGTTCACCCATGAGAATGATGTCATATCTAAAAACATGGCCCACTATCCTATATATGTAGCCATGTTGTGTCTTATGTGGAAAGAACTTGGTGAGCAAAAACTAAAGGAAATGAAATCACTGAAAACTTTTTCTCAAATATTAAAAACAATGATTGCCTTTCTAAAAGAACATTATGCTCAGAAAGAGGTGAAGAAAGTAGGCAGCCCCTCACTTCTTGCCTCTTTGAAAAAAATTGATGAGCTCCTTGGACCAATTGCCAAACAGGCCCTCAACGGTTTGCTAGAAAATACCTTGGTTTTTGGTGAAGATGATTTCGAAATATGCCCAGAATCCAAGGACACTGCCTGTAGGGTTGGGATTTTGTCTCAGGAGGACAGAATTACCACTAGCATGGACATACATCAGGGAAATTCTTATGTGCAATTGCCAGTCTTTTTCCCTCACAAACTGTTTCAGGAGTACATGGCTGGAATCCATCTTGCTTCCCTGTATGAATCGGATCGTAATGAATTCAACAGGCTGATTGAGCAAGTAGTGCTGCCAAGGAAGGGGGAGTTTAGGTATCTACTGTACTTCACTGTGTCACAGAACAAAAGTATTGCAACCCATGTAATGAAGTCTATGCTTCAGGGAGTAAACAGGGATTCATTGGCCATATGTAAAGAGTTACCTTTCATTGTTGATGTAGCCTTTGAGAGTCAGGACCCAGATGTAGCAGCCTTGGTGAAGGACAGGGTGCAGTCATCAGAGGAGATTGTGCTGATCATTTTCACAGACACGACAGCACACACTGTAGCTGGTTATGCATTCATTCAAGTTGGACCACATGTGGTAAGTTTGAACATATTTTGATAAACAAAATTAGTACATCCATTTTCTTTTATTACGTCTTTTTGCAATTTTCTTACTGTACAACAGTATAATTATGGAAAGGTGCATCAAGGAGGTTTAAACAGTGATAATTTGTTTTCTAGAACTGCAATTAGTGATGATATGCATGCATGCATTGATGCCTGTATTTTTATTTCTTTGAGCAGATAAATAAAGCAATTAGATTGATGATCCTCTTAAGCGGAGGGCCAAAGTCAGACTATGCACATCTTGTATATAAGATTTTAACATAATACACAGTATTTCAGAGGTTTTTTTTAAATAATTTGTAGCGAACACTCCTCATTCGGAGGAGGCGTCAAAAGAGCAGTCCTTTTGATGATGAAAAATAGTATTTTGTTAATTATATTTTAAGGGAACCTTGAACCACCATGACTTTGGTGTCATATGAAAGAAAATTAAATTATCTGCATTTTGATACCAATTTGATTAATTCAATCGCAAATTTAAGTTCAAAAAGTTTTAAAAAAAGAAGTTAGATTTTTTTTTTCTCGAAATGTTCAATTTTATCAAAAATCAGAGAAGTGCCTTTTTTGTAACTTTCCAGGAATTTGCCAATATATAAGGATAATACTCTGTGAAAAGGAAAGGTGTATATCTCGTTTCAATAAAAAGTTATAGCAATCCAAAGCTATTGATTTGATTTCCCCCCAAAACAACATTGTCATCCTAACTAAGGTACTACAAGCATGTCATGCATTGTAGATGTGATGCATATAGCAAATTCAGCATATTTTCATAATTAACTGTGTCATTTGTGATGATCGATGTCATGAAATTTTACCAAAGTTGGCAGTCGGTTGTCAAGTAGGTTGATACACATGTCTGCCAAGTTTCTTAGGTCTACCTTGGTATACATTCAAGTTTGCAAATTGAACTCATACATATTGAAGTTTTTTAGGAATTATTCTGAAAAGTATGGTTTTCAAGAGCAATTTTTCGCAAAGTCAGTAAGTGGTAGGATGAATTTTGTTGTTGTTGGTGAAAAGTGTATATCTTCAAAAAAGGGTACTGATAAAGCTAGGCATGATGGAGCTATGGCCCCATATAAATCCATTTTCAGAACTTTAGAGCATGCTATTCATATCATGCATGACTATTGATGTGTGAAATTCAACAGAAATATGTGCAATGCAAAGATAAAGATGCTGTAAAAATTTCATACAGAAAGAAATTGATAAAACAAATTTAAAGGTAATTCTTTAGCGATCGTTGAAAGAGTCGATTTCGGACTTAAATATTTAGAGTATGAAGATTGCATTTTGAAGGACCATTTGTGTGGTTAAGATTAAGAGCAACTTTTTCACTATTTAGAGTAATTTGTTAGGAAGTCTGTAGTAGGCCTGAGTCATGTCAGGACTTTTATAAACCGGGTCCCGATGACCTTGCACCGATCCGGAACCGGTGTCCCGCAATCAGCTAGCAGGATTTGTCACTTGCCTCTATAAATAGCGCATATCATCAGTATGCCCCTTAAAAGTGACCTATAGTGGATTCTAGCCTCGTGTTAAACATAAAAATGTGCACGGACATCGCAGCAGGCCCATTCCAATAATAAATGTACAGGAAGTATCAACATTTTTTCTTCTTTTCTCCTTTGCGAGCCTAACGTTTTGCTCTGTATCCACCCTTTTAATTTAGTGATTGTATTGTTATTAACATTTAGAAATGATAAAGGTATGGTGTGGACTTAAATAATCTCCTTTGAAACCTGTTCTTAGACTTATACTCTCCTTTAAATTTTTTTAAGGATTGTCTGTTTATTACATGGTAAACCTAGATGAGATATTCCTACTGACGCAAAAAGGGAATTTGATATGAAATGTCATGGCAATAGTTCTTCAGCCTGTACCCTTAATTATTTCCTTTTCCCTCTTACTCTCTGTAGTTCTAGCAGCAAATTTAGGGCAACCGCTCATGTAGGTTACTCATGTATGGCTTACATCCAAGTGAACATCTATATTCTGTATCTCATCAGTAATCACTTCATCATTTTATCCAGGTTGATCTCTATATTCATAGAGATTGTGGACCTACTATGTCACTTGATGTGGCAGAGATGATATGCTCCATGCCTTCCTTGAAGGCAGTTTTTCTTCATGGCGCATTCCATCATTGTTTTTTTGAAACACTTGCAAGGAAAGGAAAAGAATCAAAGGTGAGCTGTTCATCCACAATTGTGATATATGTTTGAGTTTTAATTTAAGTTAATTCCATTACCATCTCTTCCTTTTTCTAATCTACATTTTACTTTTCTGTAATTCCTTTCAATATCTCATATATGGTGGTTCTTTCGACAGAATGTGAACAACCCCCAAAACGGCCTAAAAAACCCTCCATCCGGCAGGCGGAGGGCGATGAATTGTCCAAAAAAAAGAAAAAAAATAGAAGAAAAGAAACCGGTTCGTGTCACACTCTTCTTCAGTGGCCAGATCTGACAGATGTTTAAAAACTAAATCTGTTTCTGATGCAGACACACATAAGGTGGTCTGCAACGTACTGGCCAGACAGATTTCAAACTAACCTATTTCTTGAATAATGCTGGTTTTTTTGACAGAGGAATATATCTTCTCAAGGATTATAGCATATACATAGATCCAATCCAAAAAAGGTGAAAAAATTACACTTTTAAATGCAGGAATATTAATTCACTAAATCCCTCAAAGTCAGTCCTGCAAGGTCCACACTATCAGGTTCATAAGGTTCATAAGGTTCATAATGTTCATCTTTATTGATGACACTGATTACTACACAAACTATTGGACGTGATCATGAACCAAAAAATATAACAAATTTGAGAAGATACTAAAGGGCTGCCTGCTAGGTGCACATCATCAGTTAGTAGGAAGCGGTACTGGTGCTGCTAGATTTTAGCGCAGCATTTGATACGATTGACCAGGATCTGCTGCTTGAAAAAATGGAATCCTACTTTGAAATCAGAGGAAGGGCTCTTCGATGGTTTTCCTCATACCTGGAAAACAGAAAGCATGTTATGATAAAAAATGCCTCTTCGCAAACCTACCATGATAAACATGGGGTTCCACAAGGATCCGTCATCGGGCCCCTTGCCTTCACAATGTACACAGAGCCAATGGAAGACATCGTAACATCTCATGGTGTAAATGTAATGCTTTATGCAGATGACACGCACATTGTATATCTTGTTCAAGCATAGTGAATGTGAAGAATCATTAGAGAGGTTAAAAGCCTGCATAACTGAGGTGAAGATTTGGGCAATGAAAAACAAATTGTCTTTGAATGATTCCAAAACTGAAGTTATCCATTTCACATCTAACTTTCGTCAAGATCCCTCCCTATCTAGGGTATATGTCGGTGACTGCCACATTAATCCTGTGCCTTGAGCCAGAAATTTGGGGGTCATGTTTGACCAGCACATCACCTTGAAAGAACATGTAAAAACCGTTTGCAAATCAGCAATGGCAGTAATCAGGTGCATGAGTAAAATCAGATGTTTCCTCTCGAAGCAAGGTGCTCTCACTCTGGTGCATGCTGTCCGTGCGTCCGACCCACTTTCTCATTAACGGGATATCTCTAGAACCCGGTCCTTGAGATATGACCTTTAAACTTGATGATAGTATGTATCACCATAGGAAGAGAATCTCATTAGTTTTTGGAGTAAATAGGTCAAAGGTCAAGGTAACAAAGGTCAACTTATGAACTTCCAGAAAATAGCACATGTATTTGCTAGTCGATTCTGCATGGCCCCTCTATGGAATTTACAAAATGGAAGATGTTAAATTTTACATCACTTAAAGGTACTACACTGTATATCCCATTTGCAGGCCAAAAAAATGAAAAGTTAAATTCCAACGGCATTTGAAAGATAATACTAGTTTAGAACTTCCCTAAAAAAATGGGGGCTTGAAAATGTCTTTAAGTGGGAAAATAACGACTATTAATAGTCTTGATTTTCAGACCGCTGTACCGAATGGTCGTGCGTTTTGTTCTGCGCAAAGATTCAATCAGTTAAATGTTGGCCATTACTAGAAGTGGGTTATTGATGTAGACAAATGCTCATGTACCCTTTACAGCTAATTTTATGTATGTTATTACCAGAGAAGAAAAGAGCCAGTCAGTCACTCAATAGTGTCTGACAGTGAAGTCTAGCAAGTGAACGTTTTTTGTTGTTGCATAATTTGAATATTAGGACACTGCTAACATTTAAATTTCACAGATAGGACATACATGACATATTCATAATTCCTGAAAGTTCTACAGAATTTGAGGTCGGCTGCAAAAGGGACATAGTATCTTTAACACAAAATGCAATTGAAAGATAAACAATAATGAGATAAATACAGAGGAGTATATTATTAGTGTCCCTGGGTAGCAGGGTTTGCACGATTTAAATCACTGGACAACTACATTGTACCCTTTGGACAATTTACAATTTACCTCCCCCCCCCCCCCCCCCCCCCCTGGCAACTACCAAGGAAAATTTCTTTGGTGTAAAAGTGTGAGAGGTTAAAATGCCAGGGTTAGGAAAAATGCCAGAAGTGACAATTTTACACATCAATCAATTTTGATTTCACCAATCCTTTCCCTAGGTCAATTATAAAAGAAACAATTAAGCATACTTACTCAACAAAGATCACTGCACTAGATGTCAACATTTCCATGTCACTTCCCCTTCTACTTCGAACTATGCGCTCTGGAGCGCCATGTACACTCCAAATAATTGATTTTGTCACAAAATCAATCTCATATAGTGAATTTGTCCACGGAATCACTACTGACATTGATTGTGTCAAACCATGAAGTGATTTAAAAAAAATCTTTTATCCAAATTAAACATGGCACTCCCAGATTAAGGATGCATTTATGATCAGTTAGACATATATTTGAAATGCTTGAATTAATCTAGAAGATAGGTAAAAGATTTTTTGATGCCAACTTAATTGGTTTCATTGATATAAACA